AAGATTGACACCAACCCTTTCACCCTTTGCAGTCACTTCATATAAGTCTTGCTCCAAGTTCCCTGTCCAAGTTGGTGTCCAGGAGTTGCTTAACACCTTCAATTGATCCAGCTTTTTCTGTTGAGCTGGGGCAATTTTACCCCTAACAGTACCCACAATTCGTTGATGGGCAACCATTCTCCTCATGATATAGCATCTCAGTTCTTCACATAGGCTGACAATGGGCTTGGACTTGTATGCAACAATTTTTGCATTCCACACCTCAGCCATGTTGTTGGTTATATTGTCACACTTGGGCCAGTGACTAAAATATTCCTTAACCCAGCATGAGGGGTGAATCTTGTTGAGGTATGCCCAAGCATCTTCATTCAACTCCTTCAATTTATCCATTGTTCTTTGGAATTGGGGCACAGTTGTGCATCGTGCAGCCTCCCATACTATTCCTCTAATGGCTTTGTCCTTCCATTGCTTAATAAAATTCTTCCACACTTGTTGCACACAGAACCTATGATGGGCACCAGGCATGACCTCCTGTAATGCTGGTATCAAACCATGCATCCATATATCAAGCAACAACAAAAGTGATCACACATGGCTAGTAATGAACAACTTTTAAAAAAGGGAAAAACCTTTGAAAAAAAATACCTTTTGCTGATCACTTATGAAGTTCCATCCATGCACTACACAACTGCCAATGTCTTCTTGTAGCAAGGTCAGAAACCACTTCCAATTTTCTTTGGTCTCACTGTCAACAACTGCAAAAGCAATGACATAAAAGCTCTTGTTTGCATCCTCTCCCACTGCACTCAATAGCTGTCCCCCATAGTAACCTTTCAAGAAACATCCATCCAGTCCAATCAAAGGTCTACAACCAGCTTTGAATCCTTTCTTGCAGGCATCAAGGCAGACATACAGTTTGTTAAAAATTGGTGAGCTGTTAGGGACTGGTTGTGGAATTACTTGCATCTGGCAAGTGGAGCCAGGGTTGCTCCTCAAAAGCTCAGCTAGGTAGTCCCTTAGCTTGCTATACTGTTCCTTCTCACTTCCTTCTATGTTTTGTTTGGCCTTGTGTAGTGCCTTCCCTAATTTCTTCAGATGAACATGGACCTTGTACTCTTCCTTTAAATGTTCATAAGCCTCGACTCGTCATATTGGGTTGTGTGACCAGCCTTTTCTCCAACTTTGCAGCAACCCAATCCCTGGTGGCCCTTTTATTTTTGAAAATTCTGCAGCAGGTATGGTTGTCATTGAATGTCTTGACTTGGAAACAATTGAATTTGTTGATCCAAGAACAATATATCATCCACTCACAGTCAGCATTTGAGCACTTGGCTCTTGATCTTACCTTGTCATTCTTAAGCCATACAAACTGCCTCCCAAGACTTATATTGTAGTCTTTGACACCCTGTTTAAAGTGCTCCAAACTGGAAAACTCCATTCCAAGCTCGAGCTGTACTAAACCAAAGGGCTGGTCCTCATTAAACTTAGGAAACACTTCCCTTTCAACCTCCTCATCCCCACTTGAAGGTGGAGTCTTCAATTCTTCAGAATTGTAACCATAGCCTTGATCTTCAAATGACATATTCTGCTCATCCTCAGAATTGTTAACTGTCTTTTTTTCCTTCTTTTCTTTCACCTTCTTTTTCAATGCAATAATTGGTTCATCATCTGTATCGTCTTCAACACCCAGTGGCGGAGGCTTATAAGGCTCGTCTTCTACACTGTCATATGAATCACTTGACAATCCATTGCCCTCCCCCTCTTCATATTCATAATCATGAGTCATATGGGAGTCAGACAAACTGTCAACTGAATCACCTAATACCCCCTCCTCATCAGCACTTTCAGGAGGAGTTGGATCTGCAGCCCCTCCCAAAATCTCAGGAATTGCAATGCAACCATCAAAATATATGTCTATTTTGTTCCCATTACTTAAGGCAGTCTTGACCATTTGCAAAATATCAGAATCCTTTTCAAGAAGATGCAACCCAACCTCTAAATCACTCTCACCAGGCTTCAATCACCACATCCGCCTACATTTGTGGTAACCATACCCCTTGAACAGAGCTTCAAGGTCACGAAGGTTTACATAGTCTCCATCCATTTCTGGTAAATCATCCACTCTCCCATTCACATAATTCAGCTTCCCTTCATCATTCCTAACCAACACACCCCCATGATGATATCTCATGACTATATACTGATCCATCTGCATATAAAACATAACATAATCATTTTTTACACTACCATCATATTAATTTACAATATCATACAAGTAATCACTACTTAACAATATGGCTTTGGGGCTTTTTTAATGGCTTCATAAAACTAATTCCACGACACTGTCATGAATAAATTTGGGGCTTTTTTGGTAATCACTACACACACCAACTTAAAATAACAAATGGGGGACCACATGCAACAAGTTCCAAAAAGATTCAACCAAAGGGGACCACATTAAAAAAAACCCTAACTTTGTCATTCCTTAACCACACATGGGGGACCACATTAAGCAAAAACACCATTTTAAATACGAAAGAGGGACCGCAGATAATAAACAAAGAAACGAATTTCACGTACCTTGCACGACAGTAACCAGAGTCACAACCGTTTAACGATCTCTTCAACCTAAACCACACTACTTCCACAAGCTTCCAACTGCAGAAGCCACGTACAGCAACAAACCACCGTGGGTCACCAACCTTCACCGCAACTGAAGCTCACGAGCTGAGGAAATGCCGGGTATGGACGACTTGTGTGACTGTGTCAACTGAGTCAACAACAGGTGTAGATCAACTCACATGCCATTCCTCAAACGACGTCGTTCCCTTTATGAAATACCTGATACAACCTTCCAATGTAAAACGACGTCGTTCCTTTTCTCTCCACGTGGGCAGGGCGTTAGTGACTCAACCACTTAACGTTCCAGGTGGCGTCTGTTAACAGGGCCGTCACTTTCCACTGAACAGAAGGATAAACGTGTCCCTTTTTTTCAAAAATAAGACACTGAAATGTGACTTTTTTAAACCGAGGGACTAAATTGTGTTTCGCAAAAATTTTCAGGGACGAAAAAGGGTATTCACTCATATTTTTATTTATATCTCAAAATTTTCAAAAGGACCATCCAGTGATTGATGATCTTAAATCACTGAAAATTTTCTCGTCAAATGCCCTTCATTTTGGCCCTATGAAATTCAATTTTTTTGATCATTGACTACCAGGGACAGTAACCGATTTCCATGTTCAAGGCCAAAAGTACCATTATACCGGAAAATAGAGGATTTACATGTTTTTCATACAGTTTAATAAGGCAATTAGATACACAGTTAGATAAGTATAATATTGAATTAGTGATATAAAAGTAAGAATGTTACATTTGATTAGAGAAGCTAAAATGTTAAGTCCGGGATATGCAAATCCGTGTTCTGATTTCAAGGCACAATTTCAATTGGATTCAGAAGTTATTCTGGATCAAGTTATGATTAGTTGGCTACCTTAATGAGTCAACTATGAAAGAAGATCACAGTTTTAGCATTTAAAGTGCAATAAAGAGATTTTTAGTTGTTATTAACTCTTGGGAGCATGACTTTTGAAAGTTGGGTTTAGTTATTGTTATTTCTATTTCCTAAGCAACACAATTCTTGGATGCATGACTTTTGGGAGTTGGGTTTAGTTATTTTATTTATATTTCCTAAGCAATACAACTCTTGGAGTTATATGTGTCTTTGTATTCTCATGCTTTTAGTTATTCTATAAACATGAGATGTTTTGTAATGCAAAAGACAGATTTGATAAATGAAAAAAATGTGTTGGATGTTCTCAAACTTCTGTTGAATCTTGTTATCTTTATCTAACCTTGGGTTAGTGGTGAGGCAAGTGGGTCCTTTATCAGTTGGGAGGGTGGCTTAGTCTTTAATCTCAATTGTGGTGGACTCTTATCTATCCCATTTATTTTTATAGAATGTATTTTTCCCTTTTCCTCATACCCATCACGTATTCAACTTGGTATCAGGAGCACCGATTTACATGGAAGACGAAGGTCCAAGGTACAGAACTCGCGAGCAAAATCAAAATATAAGGCGTGACCAACAACTTGCAAATCTTGAAAAATAGATTGAAGAAATACGCCAAACTCTTGCTAATCTTATCCAAGGAAATCATGGATGTAAGAGACATTCCAAAAGCACTCATAGCCCCTCCAATCATGATTCTACTGCTAGTGACTCAAGTGCTTCTTCAAATGAGTCAACACCTCATGATAGAAGAAGGAGAAAATTCCAAGATGACTTTAGAGATGTGAAGATTGAACCCCCATAATTTGATGGCAGCTTGAATCCCGATATTTATTTGGAATGGATTTGTTCTATTGAGCGAATTTTTGAAGCTAAAGACTTTGATGATGAGAAGTGCTTCAAAATTGCAAATATCAAACTCAAAAAGTATGCATCAATATGGTTTACGAACTTGAAGATGGAGAGGAACTAAGAAGGCAAGAGAAGGCTCAAATCTTGGGCTAAACTGAAGAGGATGATGGATAAAAGATTTCTTCCTGCCAGTTACAAACAAGACTTGTATCTCAAAATTGCTTCTCTTAAACAAGAAGATCTGAGTGTTGAAGAGTATATTGGGGAGAATGAGCAACTCCTTATAGTGGCCTTCAAGAAGTTCAGGAACAAAAAATTGCTAGTTTTATTGGTGGGTTAAATACCTATATTGCTTAGAAGGTGGAACTACAACTTTTTTGGACTTTTGAAGATGTGTGCAAGTTAGCCATTAGAGTGGAGAAACATTCAAAATCAAAGAAGACAACCAGCAAGTCATCCAGTTTCTTTAAGAATTACTCTTCTAAGGATGACTCCTCATAAAAAATTATTAAGGAAAAAGAGAAGGAGAAGGTCAAGCAAGCTCCAAAAGAATTTTAAAAGAATTTGGATGGAAAGAAATATTTTAAATGCCAAGGCTATAGCCATTTTCAAGTTGATTGTCTTAATAGGCGGGTCATGACACTTAAAGAAATTGAGCATGAATATGAACAAGGTTCAGTTTGGGATGCTGAACATGATGAAATCTCAGGTGAAGAAATTATCTTAGGAGCAAACCAAGGGGAGCATCTGCTTATGTTACGAAGAGTCCTCCAAGCTAAAGAAGCACCTAAAGAGAAAAGCCAAAGAGGACAAATCTTTTACACAAGGTGCATCGTCAAAGGAAAGGTATGCAATCTCATTGTTGATAGTGGAAGTTGTGCTAATGTTGCTTCTACGTTACTCATTCAGAAGCTTCAATTACCAACCACTCCACATCCTCATCCTTACAAACTACAATAGCTAAGTAAGAATAGTGATGTTAAGGTAACTCAACAAACCCTTATTCCTCTTTCAATTGGGAATGCATATCATGACCAAATCTTGTGTGATGTGATCCCTCTGGATGCATGTCATATTTTGTTGGGACGTCCTTGGCAATTTGATAAACATGTTCATGATGGTCATAAAAATACTTATTCTCTTGTTGACAATCAAAAGAAAATCACATTTACACCTTTAGCACCAAATGAAATTCATGTGAATTTATATGGGGAGGGAAACACACGTGAGAAAAATTCCTATATGAGTGAAACAGAGGTTGAGCGTTCATTACTTCAAAACAAACCTATTTTTGCCCTTCTTGTTGTCGAAACATCCATGAATACAGTTGAGGCCCCTTTACATCCTTTGGTGCAACATTTGATTGAGAAATTTCAAGATGTGTTTCCAAATAACTTGCCCTCTGGTTTGCCACCAATCAGGGGAATAGAACATCAAATTGACCTTATACCTAGCGCTCCATTACTAAATAGGGCTGCCTATAGGTGTAATTCTGAAGAAACAAAAGAACTATAAAGACAAGTGGAGGAGTTGATGGCTAAAGGATTTGTTAGAGAAAGTATGAGTCCTTATTCTATTCCAGCTTTACTTGTTCCTAAAAAGGATGGTACTATGCATATGTGTGTTGATAGTATAACAACATCACCATCAAGTATAGGTATCCGATCCCTCGTCTTGATGATATGCTTGATGAATTACATGGTTCTAATATTTTCTCTAAGATTGATCTTCGCAGTGGATATCACCAAATTAAAATGAAGGAAGGAGATGAGTGGAAGACTGCATTTAAGACTAAAGGAGGTTATATGAATGGAGAGTCATGCCCTTTGGGCTTTCTAATGCTCCAAGCACCTTTATGAGACTTATGAATGAAATTCTTCGTCCTTTCATTGGGAATTTTGTTGTGGTGTATTTTGATGATATCTTGGTTTATTCCAAGAGTAATGAATATCATTTGAAGCATTTGGAAAATGTCTTTTCTGTTTTGAGACAGCAAAAACTTTATGAAAAATTAGAAAAATGTGATTTCTTCTCTCCTCATGTTGTTTTTCTTGGCTATGTTGTCTCCAATGATGGAATTTTTGTTGATCAATCTAAAATTGAAGCTGTGAAATCTTGGCCAACCCCAACTAGCGTAACTGAAGTAAGAAGTTTCCATAGCCTTGCATCTTTTTATATAAGGTTTATTAAAGATTTTAGCACCATCATGGCTCCCATCACTGAATGCATGAAGGTAGGTTCCTTTGAATGGACTAAGGCTGCTGATAATGCCTTTAACTCCATCAAGAAAAGACTTTGTGAAACACCAGTTTTAGCATTGTCCAATTTTGATGATCTCTTTGAAGTAGAATGTGATGCTATTGGAGTTCGAATTGGGGTTGTCCTAGTGCAATCTAAGCGTCCAATTGCATATTTTAGTGAGAAGTTTAATGGCTCAAGGCAAAAATACAACACTTATGATAAAGAGTTCTATGCAATTGTGAGAGCTCTTGATCATTGGAGACATTATCTTTGTCCTAAGCAGTTTGTGTTGCATTCTAACCATCAAGCACTTAAGTTTATTAATAGGCAGCACAAGTTGAATTCAAGGCATGCCAAATTGGTTGAATTTCTGCAGTCCTTCTCATTTGTATCCAAACATAAATCTGGAAAGTCTAATATTGTAGCTGATGCACTTTCAAGAAGATATTTTCTCTTATCCATTGTTGAAGCTAAAGTTCTTGGTTTCCATTTGATTAAAAATCTTTACAGAGATGATCCAGATTTTTCTCATTTATTTGAAGACAAGAAAAATTGAATTTCAAGCCCATATATGATTCAAGAAGGCTTTCTTTTCAAAAATAACAAGTTATGCATTCCAAAAAGTTCTTTGCGTGATCTTTTAGTAAAGGAAGCTCATCGTGGAGCAGTAGCTGGTCATTTTGGTATCAACAAAACTCTTGACATCTTGCATGAGCACTTTCATTGGCCTAAAATGGTAGGAGATATTCATAATGTTGTTTCAAAGTGCTCTATTTGTCACAAAGCAAATAGTCAAGTTCACTAAAGGTTATACACTCCTCTACCTGTTCCAAATCAGCCATGGGAGGATGAAAGTATGAATTTTATTATGGCATTACCTCGTACTTAAAGAGGTAAAGATGTTATCATGGTGGTTGTTAATCGTTTCTCAAAGATAGCTCATTTCATTCCTTGTACAAATCAGATAATGCTTCTCATGTGGCTGATCTTTATTTCAAGGAGGTTCTCAAGCTTCATGGAGTACCAAAAACCATTGTAAGTGATCGAGATTCTAAGTTCTTAAGTCATTTCTGGAGGTGTTTATGGAAATTATTGGGTACTAAGCTCTTATTAAGCACAACTTATCACCCTCAAACTGATGGGCAAACTGAAGTCACAAATAGAACACTTACAACTCTTCTTAGAGGTATGGTGAGTAAAAGTCTTAAAGATTGGGATATTAAACTTTCCTATGCTGAATTTGCACATAATAGAGCTCCACCTTATGCTACGGGAAAGTCTCCTTTTGAGGTAAACTATGGAGTAAACCCTCTCACCCTCATTGATTTAATTCCTCTTCCAATAGAATCCCAAGCGAGTTTTGAAGCCGAAGAACGTGCTAAAGCAATGAAAAGGCTCCATGAACAGGTCAAGGTCAGAATTGAGAAAATTAATGAGTTGTACAAACAAAAGGCAAACAAGCATTGCAAATCACAGCAACTCAGTCCTGGAGATCTAGTTTGGCTCCGTTTGAGGAATGAGATATTTCCTTCGAAGAGAAAAAAATAAACTGATGGCTCAGGGAGATGGTCCCTTCAAGGTGATTGAAAAGGTTGGAGATAATGCATATAAGTTGGATTTACGCGGAGAAGCCAATATTTTTGCAACTTTCAACGTTGGTGATTTAACTACATACTTAAGTGAAAATGAAGATCATGAGGATTTGAGGACAAATCCCAATCAGAGAGGAGAGGATGATACAGAAGTAAGAATGTTACATTTGATAAGAGAAGCTAAAAAGTTAAGTCCAGGATATGCAAATTTGTGTTTTGATTTCAAGGCACAGTTTCAATTGGGTTCAGAAATTATTTTGGGTCAAATTATGATTAGTTGGCTGCCTTAATGGGTCAACTATTAAAGAAGATCAAAATTTTAGCATTTAAAGTGCAATAAAGAGATTTTAGTTGTTATTAACTCTTGGGAGCATGACACTTGGAAGTTGGGTTTAGTTATTATTATTTCTATTTCCTAAGCAATACAATTCTTACAAGCATGACTTTTGGGAGTTGGGTTTAGTTGTTTTATTTCTATTTCCTAAGCAATACAACTCTTAGAGTTATATGTCTCTTTGTATTCTCATGCTTTTAGTTATTCTATAAACATGAGATGTTTTGTAATGCATAAGACAGATTTGATAAATGAAAAAAAATGTGTTGCAAGTTCTCAAACTTGTGTTGAATCTTGTTATCTTTATCGAACCTTGAGTTAGTGGTGAGGCAAGTGGATTCTTTATCAGTTGAGAGGGTGACTTAGCCTTTAATCTCAATTGTAGTAGATAAGTCTCTTATCTATCCCATTTATTTTTATAGAATGTATTTTTCCCTTTTCCTCATACCCATAACGTATCAATTAGAAGAGTCCATAATTGCAACTTCGTTTTAAAAAATATAAATCAGCGTAAACTAAACTCAATTATTTAAATTATTAGGTAAATATCATATCCCTAATAAGGGTGAGTATATTGGTTAAGGATTAAGATCATATTCTAGAAGGGCGTGAATTTTAATCCAGTTGGGAGATCTACGCTAACTTTGGTAAGATATCGATATCTAGTTCCACTTAAATTTTTAAATAAAAAATATTAATAATTTTATATTATATTTTTCTAATCCATACAACGTTTATAGTTAAAGGAAATAAATTATGCGCATTCACCTTCTAATATAATATCTCTAATTGGGAAATACCTTAATTATTTTTTTTTTTTAAAAATTATCCTGTCATGTTTGTATAAAATAGAGAGTGGGAAAAGAATAACCTTGATTTATTTATTAAGTACTTACATGACCTGTTGAATAAATTGCTTATTTGTTAAGAACTACTCAAATGTCTTACATGACTTGTCAAATAAGATATGGAAGCATCCATTCCCCGGACGAGAAGACAATGGTTTGCATCAAACACTGTTGGCACAAGTAGTAAATAGTTTGTATTCTTTAATCATAGATCTCTAGTTCAAGTTGTGGAAATGAAAAAAATAGTTTTGGAAGAGTCGTTCTCTATAGAGTGCGACAATACTTGAACCGAATTAATCCAATGGATGAACACGAGAAAAAGAAAAAAGACGATGTTTTGGACTGTCGAAGTAATGAATATTAAATAATTCTTAGAGTAAATACCTTTTTTGGTCTTCAGCAAATTTCACGATGCCCGATTTAGTCCCTAGCAAATAAAAAGGCCCACACTGTGGTCTTTAAGAAATTCAAAATGGATCCATTTAGTTGAAATTGTGATCCCTCACAAATTCAAAAAAGACCCATATTAGTCCTCAGAAAGACTAAAATGGGTTCATTTTGAAATTTTTTGGACCATGAATGGTCTTTTTATTTGCTAGGGACTAAAACGGGCATGTGAAATTTGCTGAGGACCAAAAAAGGTATTTAATCTGATTCTTATACAGTACACAAATAAAAACTACAAAACGTCAAGAGAGGAGGCTAATATTCATTGAAGATAACCAGCATAATGAAATTGTCAAAATCTATACTGCAATACAAACGAGCAAGCCCAAATAGAAAAACATTACTGGTTTCAAAGCATCAAGAGCATTGGTACTCTTCTACAGCTAAACAGATAATCACATATTCTGGCTTCAGTTATTGTGGTAAATAGCAGTATCAAGCAGCTAGTTGCCCCATCAATGAAAAAACCCGTTTTCATTTTTCTCATCACTACTGCTTAGAGACTTTATCCAAAGCGTCAAAAACATATTGCTGAGTTACATCTTCCACAATGACTGTCTTATCTCTTGACTTAGAACCAGTACCTATAGAAACTTGTCTTCTCTTTACACCTAAAACCTGGTATCACCATAACAATCTTATATATATAGTACACATTCTTTGTAACAACGCCATGTTTAACATTAAAGAACCTAAAACAGTCACAGCACCAAATTTTTATTTTATTTTAATTTTTTTTATTAGCAGGGATTTGATAAAAATGAAAATGATGCCACTCGAGAAATCAGCTTCAACATACCAAATACCAAATCACAAATTTATTTTAGTCAAACACAAGAATTACTATTAGAGCTTACAGAGCTAATGTAATCGAGAAGAGCTGCATTTGCTTCGCCATCCCTGGCCGGTGCGTCAATTTGCACTCCAACAGCTTCATCGCTGACATCTACTTAATAGAAAACAAAAAACCAAAGCACCATGATTGCACTTATAAATTAAAAATCGAAGAAAAGCGAGAACGAGAGATAGAGAACAACCTGTTACGGATGCGGATTTGGAACCTGGTTTCGCGTGGATGGTTATAGCGACGGAGGAAGGAGGCATGCACCGTATACAAGACGGGAAATTATTAGGTTTTTCCTTCGGAGTTGTTGCCTTAGGCTCAGCCTTCGCTTTTCCCCTCTTCGCCGGCGGCATATTTTAACTTCTCGATAACCGATGCCGGAGACCCGCCGATTCCCTCGCCTTGCGTACTCGGAACGCTGTCGTTCTTGATAAGTCAAAACTTGTTAATTAGCATTCGCTTTCTGTGATGTGCAGGAGCACCGAATTTATGATGCGGTTTGTCACATAGGATTAGATTCTGTTCCCCTATCGTGGCCGTCAATTTAATCCAACGGTTCTAACTAGGCTATTTAAATAGAGAGAGGTGCATTTTAGATTTTTTCAAACGCTACCAGAAGATTGGAGAAAGAAACTAAATCTGATTTTTTACGACGCCGGTGATGGGAGCGTCCACTTCGGCGGAGCCGCGGGTTTCGGCGGAACAGCGGGAGGCGGAAACGGTTGCAGCCTCCACCGGAGCTCTTCCCATGCTTCAGAAAGCTTTCTCTAAACTCGCCAATCCCGAAACGAACGATGTTCCCTTAGAAAAACTACAGGTACTACTTAGAAACCTTGATTTGAGATTTTCTTTTATTTTTCTCTTTCTTTTTTTAATTTGGTCTTTCTGACGTTTAAACTCGTTGTTTTAAGCAATGCTTAGGTTTCTCTCGCGAAGGTCGAAGTAATCATGCAGGAAACGTGCCTGATTTGTTTGCGGTGTTGTTGGATCACTTAGGTTCATCCCTGGTTGATCAATTTTTCGTGGCTGATAAAGGAGGAATAAGTTGGTTTGAATTTGTGAAAGGTTATAACAAGTGCTGTGCTAGGGTGTCTGCTTCAATTTCACTGAATATGCTTGTCAGAGTGTTCCTTGCTGTGACTGGAAGAGGAAATGTTACTCTGCATTTGGAGTTTGAATCTGGGGATGCTGATTGTAAGATCGACGGTTACCTTCTTCCTAGTCATGTGTTTATGCTTCTTTTCATGTGTTGGGCTATGTCATGGGATTGTAGAAATTTGAAAGGGAAAGGAAGTCTCAGTCTGCCAGATTTGAATCATTTGGTGTTGTCCGTCATTACATCGTGTGTAAAAGTTGAGGGTGGCTTGAATGTATGGGATTGTGACATCTCGAGCTTGGAACTTCAACTTCCTGCAGGGAAGTTTATTACATGGGTTATGAGTACGGTGCCATGCCTCCCGGATTGCTTAAGACAGTATTTTCATGCAAGATTGCAAATGACAGTGACTGCAGGGGTAATTTGTTTATTTATATTCAATGGCTTCAGTTACCATCATGATTTCTTTTTTATGACCACTTCAGCACAAGTTTTCTTTATTTTTTTTACTCAACATGATTAATATATTTCATTCTGCCTTGGTTACCATCGTAGTTGATATGTGGTTTAAAAATTAAAACAATTCTCATCATGTAATTTTGCCAGTTCTATTTTTTGTTTTTTTTGCCTTGCCTTCATGCTGATACTATTGTGATCTGTAACTATTTCCAAATGTGTTTTCTAACATACAACGTTCACCCTGTAATCTATGTTTGGCTTTTTTTGTTCCCCATGATTGAAATACGAAGGTTGCTACATTTTATAAAAAGTTGGTTGTCAAACAGCTCCCAATAAATTGTTTGCTTTCTTTTTTAGTTAATCAGCATGGCATTGTAGAATTGACAAATAATCTGCGTTTTAACTATTGTTATCAATCCTGGATAACAGCGTATAGTGGCCGATCCCAAAATTACTATAGCAAATAGCTGGATGGTTGCTGCTACATTGAAGATTATAAATAATTTATAATATACATATATAATTGCTCAAAAACAAAAAATTACCCAACATTAAAGACATGCATAATTAAAAATCAAAAGTCATACTCTTAAGCTAAACAAATACTCTAGTAATCCCATTAGTAGTAGTTTATCCATAGAAATCACATGTGGCACTCTTTCAATTGTTCACATCTCAAGCTATTTCATTTCCATGTCATGTTAATATTCTCACTGGTAGGTTTTATTAGTGCACAAAAAGTGGCTTAGGTTGAGGTGCTTCGTGGAGTAATCCCTTGTTGCTAAGTGGATGATGTCATGATTGCAAAGGATGTGAAGTGTAATCAATGAGAAGTAAAAAACTCAAAACACAAAAATAATTAACTAAATAAACAAAAGGGTGGGGGATAGATCAGAGAACATGAAGGGCACAGGCCTTTGTAAGAACTCAGATCAGGGAACAATGTCAACAAGCAATGGGTCGGGGGGTTGGTGTCAAAAGAGAAGATTGCTGTGGGTCAATGGATGTTTGCAAAAATGAATGGTTTGGAAAGGTTTTCATAACCTATTTGTTATTCGAATGAAAGAATGTTGAAAATCACAAAGTATCCTAGAAAAAGTGGGGGAGGTAAGGGGAAGAGGGGTTTTACTTTGTTCACATTCACAATAGAGGCATGAATCTCTCCGTAAATGGATGCTATTGTGGGCACAAAGGTTGTAAAGCAAAAATGCTCCACGATGTTGTTAATAAGCTTGGTTTTAACATCCTTTTAGATGTTGGTAATCTAGTTAGGTCTCTTTTAGATTGGTTATAGAAGGCAATGATAATTGTTTTTAGTATTTTTATACTCAAAACTGTATGCTTGCTATTTATGCTACTATTATGGAAAAGGAATTCCCCAGTTTGGCAGTTGGCTGTATGTTTGGCTTTTCTAGAAACAATAATGTTTTGCTTTATTATCATTTATGCTTAACTGTCATTATGCTTGTCAATAACAATAATTGAATAGGAAACCTAGAAGAGGCCTAACTAGGTTAGTAGCATCAAAAGGGATGTTAGAGTCAAACTTATCAATACCACGAGATAGTGCTATTATTGCAGTGTCGCATTATGACCAGAGGTCGCTATGCTACATGATCTGCTATGCAAAACGCTTTTGCTTCAAGCTCATTGTGCCAACAATGAGGTTCATTTTTGCAGATATTTGGCATAGCATGGCAATAGAATAACTTGAGAGATATTAACAATTGGAAGAGTGTCATATGTGATTTTTGAGACAATACTACCACTCGTGGGACAAGAGCTAAAAGATACCAAATGGGACTTGTGTATTTAGCTTAAGACTATGACTTTAGATTATTAACTATGAACATACCTTTAATTTTGGGTAATTTTTTTTTTTTTTTTTGAGCATTTTTATATATGTAATATAAATTATTTATTGTGTATTTATAATCATCAGCATAGCGACCATCTCACTATAGTGGCTTTGAGATTGGCCGCTATCTGAGATTGACAACTATGACTATAATTGAAAACTGAGGAGAAAACTGTCATTTTCAATCAATCACGAAGGCCTGTTGCTTAGGGTATGTATGGATATGATGGGATGGAGGACCCAAATGTCCTTCAAATGGCTAAACCCATCTAGGTTATCAGTAAAGCAGCTATGGTGCGCAATCCCGCTACAGATGCAGTAGCAGCACACAAACTCTATTTCCACTATGTGACACTACATTTTGTAGTCGCGGCGCAATCGCGGTATAAGGAGGTATTACTGGATAATCATACTGTTTATTAATTTAAAGAGTACAATAACATTAGAGGGGATTTCCTCTCCAAGGAGTAATTCCCTTCTCTGAGAAGTTATTCTCACCCTAGACTTCTTACTAATCAACCACCGGCTTCCTAATTGGGGATAAGCTCTCTTATTACAAGACATAATAACTACCCATAACCAATACATAAAACAAAACTTTCTGCCATAAAGTGTCATCCATATAACTAACCCGATAATTAACTCAACATACATTACATAAATAATCAACCAACTACCTTGCCGAAAACCCTCCTAGTATAGACTTTAAGAGGTTTAGGCCCCTTAATGCCCGCATCCATATCAGTATATCCTCTAGTGTGGCAAAAAATCCACTTACCTCTTGAAGTAATTATGTTTATTTGTGATTGATTTGTCATTTCTGTTCAGTAACTTCAGCTATTAGTTGATTAATTATTACTACATTGGCATGAAGAATTATCATGACATTGTTTTACTGTCTTACTGCTGAAAATTCTTAGGATTATAGTCCCTAGTACTCTTATTATTCATTTATCATTTGCAGAGAAAAGCATGTATTTCTCAAGTTTTTGTGCATATTTTTGTTGTTATTTAGATTCTTGCCTCAATTGCCATTGTGTTTTTAGTTAAATAATATACTACGTTTATTTTTTTCGTGCTTTTCATTTGAGTTCATCGGCCACCAATCCCAACTAGTCTAGGATAAAGGTGTTGTTGATGTTGAATATATTTGTTTCTTATTATATTATTATCTGAAACTGTGTAGCAATATAGCATTCTCTCCTTTTACCCTTAGTTATTGTAGGAGAGAAAGTATTTTGCTTCTGGTTCTTAGGTGTCGTGAGATGGAATAATTTCTTGATTGAAATGGCAGGATGAATTGGCATCCTCTGATTCCTCCTCTGTTGGAGATATTTCATCAGCAGCTGCATGTGATTATATTTTAACCCAAGGAAGGGCGTGGGCAATTTCTATTACACAGAAAAGTCCAGTAAATGAAGAGATTTCTAGAGCATTGATTAGCAGTGGAGGTGGAACAGATGAAATCCTTATTTATCGGTTTGAATTTCTGATCCTCAATCATAGCTGCATCATGCTATTTTGCTTTAAATGGGGAAAAATGTATTTTGGTCACCTATTGTTATGTTTTTCTGATTTTCTGTCTGTTGACTGAGATGGTATGTTGCTTGTTCTGCAATATTGTAATTTTGTTTATGAGACTCACCAGGTGGAAAAGGAAATGCCTATTGACATCGAATGTATACTGTTTTAGGTCATCCGCTCATGGAAGAGGCCTCAACAGATTTTGGTCTCGTGTTGAAGGTTACAAAGGTCCGATGCTAATTTTGGTTGCTGCAAGTTCAGGAGATGCTCATGAGGGAAATTCGATTAATAGGAAATGGGTTCTAGGTGCCCTAACAGATCAAGGTTTGGAAAATAAAAACATTTTCTATGGAAACTCTGGATGTTTGTATTCTATAAGCCCAGTTTTTCACGTATTCCCACCTACTGGTAGGTAGTAGAGGTGACACTGTTCCTTTTGTTGTTACTGTTTTTATTTCTCTTCTTTCAGGGGTCTGATTAATTTTTGTGAAACCCTGTAACCAGTTATGTATGTTACTATTGACAGGTAAGGAAAAGAATTTTGTTTATAGCCACTTGCATCCCACTGGTAAAGCATACCAGTCACATCCAAAGCCGGTGGGAATCGCATTTGGAGGAACACCTGGAAATGAGCGAATATTTATTGATGAAGATTTTTCGAAAGTGACTGTTCGCCATCATGCTATTGACAAAACTTACCAGAGCGGTTCCCTCCTTCCAGATCAGGTTTAATTCTATTGCTGAAAATACTTGCAGTATGACTATAGAAACTTTTGTATTATTGCATGCATATAAAGTTACTGATACCGTATGTCCTTCAAATGGAAACTTTTGTATTTTTGGTTTTTATAAAGAGTATAACGATCCAGTGAACTCTTCCATGCTGTGAAATTTTCCTTCATTACATCGTGATAATGTTTTTAATATTCGGCTAATGTTAATTGAAGAGATGCACAGTATGAATAATGTAGACAGTACACTGGGATTGGTTAAAAGTATCTTGGCCATTGACCAATAATGAACTGCTCTTCGCTATGACTTCATATTTATGAGCTTTTGTTGGCTTATCATATGTTTCAGGGTTTCCTACGTATTGAAGCTCTGATTTCAGAAGTTGAAGTTTGGGGACTTGGTGGGAAAGTGGCAAAGGAGGTGCAAAACTCATATAAGAAGAGAGAGGAACTTTTCACTGAACAAAGACGAAAAGTATCGTACCTGATCCAATTAGTTGCAAATAGGAATTAAATTTTGATAAATCAAAGAACAGCAGTAACACTCTGTTATTATGCTTTTTTGTAGGTTGACTTGAAGACTTTTGCGAGCTGGGAAGATTCCCCTGAGAAAATGATGATGGACATGATGTCTGATCCAAATGCTGTTCGAAAGGAAGACCGCTGAGTTGGACCATGCAACTTTGCCTTGCTTAGTGCAGGCACACGCACGGAACAAATTTCATGTTTTATCTTGTGATTTATCAGGCTTGTGATCCCCAAGTCGCTGTACAGAATATAGAAAATTTGTATTTAAACAAATATCGTGTCATAATAATTTTCTTCTAAAGTACAATGTGGCGTTTATGTGTGCTTACAGTATCCTCGTCAAGTGTACGAAACATGTGATCGAGGCTTGGCTTTAGGAGAAAATGACTTCCTTGTTTCTAATCGTTTCACACTATTATGTGCATTACAAGTCAATTGAGGAACATGGCTGCAATGTATGTCACTAGAAATCCTGGATCGAGATAGCTATTGTATCTAGTGCGTGTTAATAAAATGGAAAGCTTAGCTATACTACGTTATAGTATGGTGACTGTCATTGGTATTCACCAATTGTGCAAATGTACGTTTCTTGCATCTTCAAAAAATGTACTCGTCTACACGTCATAATATTTAGCGTTTTAACACCCTTTGCGTGCAACGATCTCTTAATCGTCTCAGGATGTTTGCGTCCATAACTGAAGATATGAATCTCGAATAGATGAGGATGACTTTGCGTTTGCCTAACCCAAACAAAGTGTAAACATGGGGCCTATATTTAAGCAGGTTTTATTATTATCTAGTTTATCCCTATACTCTCATATATTTTAATAAATTATAACTGTTAAAATAATAAAAATTAACGGTTAAAATTTAATTATAAGAATTCATAAACAATTTAATTTGTAAATATAAGCCACACACATAATTTCTCAAGTCATATACACACAAAAATAGGTAGAACTTAATTTTCTTTTATCTTTTTTCCTTAGTGAATTTCATTCATTTTTATGTACGCGCACGACACATGCATAAAAAACTATATTCACACACACACACACTTTTGTTATTCTGTAAAAATTAAAATAAACTGGGCTGGCAAAGTCATAAGCAAGATACATCTTTTTTCACACACACACACACTTGTTATTCTGTAAAAATTAAAATAAACTGGGCTGGCAAAGTCATAAGCAAGATACATCTTTTTTCATTTCTACTTTATAGTTACAGGTAAAGATGGAACTTGATCACAACCTACCATAATAGTCTTTGCTTGAGATGTCAAAAACAAATGAACACCAAAAACTAAATTCTGTCAGTAAGTGGAGGTTAAGAAAAATCGGCACCCCTATCCATGTCTCTCTTTCTCTCACACACTTTTGGCACCTGCTTGCTACACTACCATATTTTTACATTGCAAAAGCTAGGGTGAAGGGAGCAGCCTATCACGGAAAAATAAGCTTATGCTTAATAATTAGGCACTTCTTACAACCCCGGTCGTCTTTCGAATCATGCCAACAAATTAGTCGTCAAATTATATCCTGTAAATTTAGATCCGGTAAGATTTCAGTATGTTGACAAATTATAAAGATTTGAATTCCCTAAGAATAGAATCAATAAAATGTAGCAGCTTTTCATAATTATACACAGGCAATACAAAAATTCAAGTGCAAACATCTACTTCGTACAAAAAGCACATTAATCTTGCAACTCTAGCATAAGAGATTGAATAGAAGAAAAAGAAAGAAAGATCAAACACTATACTATGCCAAGTAGTTTATACAAATATACATTAACTTAATTTCCAGTCAATTTGTTTTCCTTTTAAATGAAGATATCATTAACTAAGTTCCTTTGACCAGCTTGTGGAACTTGCAATTTGACAAGAAAGAATGTGATCACATTTTTGCCATATATAACTAAGGCAACCTAACACCACTTCAGATGAAGCCATCTCATAAACCAAACCTGGTCCCCCCACCCCATCCCAAAAGGAAAAAAAAAAAAATATCATACAATTTTCGATTTGATTCTTCTATTGTTGAATAATTATTTCATCTAGTTTCACTCTTTCCAAATTTAATGAAAATGCTTTATTCAGCACTTTTCTATCTATAATGCAACATTAAGGACTGAAATCGGTATCACATTAAAAGGTTTCTGCATAGGCGTTGAGATACCGTTAGGCACATGAGGAAGGTTGCTATTCTTATTGGAACTGTAAAAATATTCCCAAGCTGCTGAGCTTGTAGTCAGTGGTCAAAGAAAATACTGAGATATTTTCCCCATAAATAGTTTAAGTGAATGATCCCATGCTCAGAGAAGAGAAATCAAAGAAGGAAAAGAAAAGGAAAAGGCATCAACTTTTACTGATGATTTTAATAGTTTTGAAGAAGACCTGCTAGGGGAAGTCATAAACACTTATTCCTGAAATTGCTGTCAATGTCATGTTCCTATCAACTTTCTTCGTAGAAACCTATGCCAATAAAATTCATCAAAAGATATGCGCTCCCCTGCAACAGGGTGCAAATACTTCAGACATAACTAGATTTCCACAGGAAATTAAGTGAATAGGAAAAAAAAAATTATATAAAATGGGAAATGTGCATAACCTGGATTTAAGCTTAGTAGTCTTGAACAAATATCAAGACAGTCAGGATCCAATCCCGAAAGAATCAGCGGAGAAAATGGAAGACAGGTACAGGATCTGATGTTTTTCAACAGCTGAAATCAGCATTTTGTATTAGCAGTGATCACAAACTGGGAATTTCTTAATATTTGTTGTTCAAAGTTATGGTGTTACCTGAACATTATTTGTACCATAAAAAGGTGGGTAGCCATTTAGAAGCTCAAAAAGAATGGTCCCAACACTCCACATGTCTGCCTATAATAATTACTTAAATTTCAGTAAACCAAGTTAATTAATGTTGAAAGTAAGGAGAGCTGATACCTTGTCATCATATCTCTGAAACTGAAGAACTTCTGGAGCCATGTATAATGGAGAACCACAAACAGTCTCAGCATACTCGCCCGGGCATATAGTTCTCCAAATTGTATGCAAGGGAAAGAAGTTGTCAAGTTAGTGCAAGTAATAAAATGAAAATAAATAAATAAATAAACTGTCTTCCACTCCGTATTCTTTTCCCTAAACGGACACTACCTTGAGAGACCAAAATCAGCTATCTTTAGCACAGCATCACCCCCATGGCTTGATAGCAAAATGTTCTGATTCAATAATGGCATCAATGCAAGCAAATTTGTTTCTGGTCTCAAAATGATAGTCACGACAAATATATTATCAATAAGGGAATGCTTTCCCATGCAACTAGGACAAGCCGTTATAAAAAAGGGCTGTGATTTTCCCTTTTTTTCTTGTGTTTTGGCTCTCAGTAGACAACCTGAATCATTTTGATGTCAGTTTAAACTATAACAAAGTATTTGGTATGTGATGGAACCCCCAACAATTAACAACAAACATAACAACAAATTCTTCCATTGATAATAACATTGACTATAGTAAATCAGAACACAATGCAACGGACTTGATAATCCAAATTACAGACTCACAACACACTAACCTATTGATAAACCAAGAACAGGAACACACTAATACAAAAGATAAACCAAAGGTCTCAACTCACCCTCAAAGCCAAAGACCTAGGCCTCAAGACATCCTTTCCCAAAACCCCACTCTAAATTCTCTGAATACATACATACCTCACTACACACACTTCCCTTCCGTTTATCCTATTCCCTAAGAACCTTCTAGAATAATTCTCTGATGGCACCAGAAGATTAACAGATAATAAACAGGAAAATATACTAAAACTTGAATTGCAATTGAGTTCTTACAAACAGTGATTAACGCTCAACAATGAAACAGTACTCAGAATGGACTACTGACAACGGACCGCTTGAGACACCTTGAAGGAAATTACAAATACTGAACCAGTAAAATACTCAGCTACTAACAATGGTTACTCTCAACGAGGAAGAAAACCCCACTCCCCATCAAGCTACCCATACTTTTCTTACAAACTTTCTAACTAACTTCCCTTACTCCCTTTTTCCTATTTAGCCACTGATTCCCTTCTCCCATTCCCCTCCCACATGGTATGCCCCATTCAACGCTTGCCACGTGTGCTCTTTTATAACAAACTCTCTTGCAGTGCTTTTCTTCTCAACAGCCAGCACTATCTGTTTCACCAAGCCTTGGCCACCCGAAGAAGCAATGGGCTGATGTTGATCACCCAACGAATCTGCCATGGCCTGCACATTTACTGTCATGGGCTGCTTGTCCGAATCTGCCAATGCAATGGGCTGATCACTATGGCCTTTGCCTTTATTCTGCTTCTTCCTACGTTCATAAACCCATTTTAGGGGTCCAACAACACCTCCCCCTCCAACAATCACCTTGTCCTCAAGGTGAAAATTTGGAAACAACTCTTGCAATTCCTCCATGTCTTCCCATGACCACTCACATTCAGGCAGGTTGGCCCATTCCACCAACACTTCAATCTTCCCATTCAGAAGCTTCCTAGCATTTCGTACCGAAGCAGGGTGAACTTGTAACTCCATCGAATCAGTCAAACAATTGGGCAAAGTCATCACTGGCACATCTGCATTCACAGCCCTCTTCAATTGAGACACGTGAAATACTGAATGTATTCGTGCATAATTAGGGAGTTGCAATCTATAAGCAGCTGGTCCAATCCTTTCCACGATTTCAAAAGGTCCATAAAACCTTGGACTCAGTTTCTGATTGAGATGTTTAGCTAATGATCTCAACTTGTATGGTTGGATCTTCAAGTATACCTGATCACCCACCGAAAATGTCACATCTCTTCTACCTTTATCATCCTGCATCTTCATTCTCTCTTGTGCTTTGCATAGATTTTGCTTCAATTCCAGCAATAATGCATCACGAGCTGCCACCCATTGATCAACCGCAGCCACTGAGATGGGCAGTTTGTCGAACTGAAAAATGGTTGGAGGATCTCTTCCATATAAAGCTTTGAATGGAGTCATCCTTGTGGACCTGTTGTAAGAGCTGTTAAACCAAAACTCAGCCCAAGGAATCCACTTAGCCCAACTCTTAGGGTGACTACTAGCAAAACACCGCAGATAAGTTTCCAAAGTGCGGTTCACCACTTCCGTTTGTCCATCCGTTTGGGGATGGTATGCTGAACTAAACTTAAGGTGAGTGCCTGCAGCCTTAAATAATGCTCCCCAAAATTTACTAAGGAATAACCTGTCCCTATCCGATATTATGGATTTAGGGAATCCATGCAACCGGATGATGACACTCACAAACAGGTCAGCTACCTCTTCAGCAGTAAATGGATGTGTGAGAGTGATGAAGTGAGCATACTTTGTTAACCGATCTACCACCACCAGTATAGTATCCACCCCCTGGGACTTAGGCAACCCAGATATGAAATCCAAGGACAAATCTTCCCAAACTTGATCTGGAATAGGTAAGGGATTTAACAATCCAGCAGGTAATAAACTTTGGTACTTTTGTTGTTGGCACACCCCACAATTCTGTACAAACCTTATAACATCCCCCCTCATTCCCTTCCAATAAAGCAATGCAGAAACCCGCTTGTAAGTGCGGATTTCTCCCGAATGCCCTCCCCAAGGAGACGAGTGAAACTCTTCAAGAATAGTGGGAATAAAAGTGGAAGAGCGAGGGAGTACCAACCTGTCCTTGTACCACAAGCAACCCTTCGTCACATGATAACTCGGGTGAGAAGAGCTGTTATTCATGATCTCAGTGATCATCTTCTTAATTCCAGCATCTGCCAAAGCCTCATCAGAAAGCTTCTGCAAATCCGAACTCACAGGTGTGGACATAACCTTGCATTCCATCATACGGGATAGTGCATCCGCGGCCTTATTCTCCAAACCTGGTTTGTATTGGATCTCTAAGTCAAAACCCATAAGTTTTGCCACCCATTTATGTTGTCCATCTATCAACACTCTCTGCTCAGTGAGGTATTTTAAGCTCCTCTGATCAGTTCTTACTATGAAATGTCGACCCAGCAAATAATGCCGCCACTTTTGTATAGAAAAGACAATAGCCTTGAGTTCCTTTTCGTAAACAGAGAGCATTTTATCCTTCTCAGAAAATGCTTGACTAAAATAAGCGATAGGTCGACCATGTTGCATGAGTACTGCTCCCATACCTACCCCTGAAGCATCGGTTTCCACAATGAATTCCTCATCAAAATTAGGCAATGCCAATTCTGGCAGGGACATCATCACAACCTTTAGTTCATCAAATGCCCCTTGAGCTGTCACATCCCAAGCAAATCTGTCTTTCTTAAGTAATCTAGTCAGGGGGCTGGCTAAATGACCATAATTCTTCACAAAGCGTCTATAATACCCGGTAAGACCCAAAAATCCCCTTAACCCTTTCAAGGACAAAGGAACCGGCCAATCTTTAATGGCAGCTACCTTAGAAGAATCTGCCTTTACCCCTGTTCCGGAGATCACATGGCCCAAATACTCCAACTCCTTCCTTCCAAAACTACACTTCTTGAAATTTGCCACAAAGCAATTTTTTTGCAGTACCTCCATCACTTGACATAACTGAGCCCAATGAGAAGATTCATCCGCACTGTATATGAGAATGTCATCGAAGAAGACTAGGACGAACTTACGGAGAAATGGCTTGAACACCTCATTCATTAAGGATTGGAATGTCGAGGGAGCATTCCTCAAACCAAACGGCATCACAAGGTACTCATAATGGCCCTCATGAGTCCTAAAAGCCGTCTTCTCAATGTCTTCTTTCCGCATACGGATTTGATTATATCCCGACTTTAGATCCAGCTTAGAAAAAATCGAAGCTCCTTCTAACTCATCCAACAACTCATCTATCACTGGTAATGGGAATTTATCAGGGATGGTCACCCTGTTCAAAGCCCAGTAGTCAACACAAAATCTCCAGCTGCCGTCTTTTTTCTTGACTAAGATCATAGGACTGGAAAAGGGGCTAGTACTGGGTCGGATCCACCCCACCAACAACATTTCCCTGACAAATTTCTCCAACTCCTCCTTTTGGTAATAAGGGTAGCGATAAGGCTTTAGATTTGGAACACTGGCCCCTTCCTTCAGAATGATTCTGTGATCACAGGTTCTCTCCGGAGGTAAATCTGTTGGTTCCCTAAACACCTCAGGGAATTGGTGCATGACCCTTGAAGTCAACTCAATAGAGTCCTCCTCCTTGCCAACATTGGTACTCACTACCCTCAGATCCACTAAATAATTTTCCAACCCCTTTTTCATGGTCTTACTAAGCTTCTTATAAGAAATAAGCCCTCTGGACAATTGAGGATCTCCTCGAAGCTCAACAATATCTGATCCATAAGGCACCCTCAAGAAAAGCTCGCGGAAATTAGCCTTTATCTCCCCCAAACCCTCCAGCCAGGTGTAACCCAGAATGACATCCTCCCCCTCCAAGTTAAATATGAAAAAATCTTGAGTTATTGACATACCTGGGAGCTGTAATAACACTCCCTTACACGTTCCCATGCATCGTACTTGATTCCCATCACCCACCGTGACCGTGGGGGATTCGGTCTTGTTCACCAGAAGCTTCAGATCGTCAGCTACATGTGGTGCCAAGAAATTGTGTGAGGCTCCTGTGTCAATCAACACCACAACCCTCTTGCCCGCGATCGTCCCCCACAACTTCAAGGATCTACTGGACGTAAGCCCAGCAATACTGTGGAGACTCAATTGAAGGTTCACCCTTTCTTCAGACGACTCTCTGTTCCCCAAATCGAGTTCCACGTCCTCTGTGTCTCCCGTTCCGACCATCATCACATTCAAATGAGCCTGGGGGCACACGTGATCGAAGGAATATGGTCCATTGCACTTGAAACACGTGTTCCGGCGTCGTCTATCCGCCACCTCCTCCGGTGACAGCCGTCGGAAGCGAGCGCGACCACCGTTGCCGCCGTTAGAGCTCCGTCCGATTGTACCGCTGTTGCCCTCATTAGGGTTCACAACCCCACTCGTGCCCTGATTCAGATTTGGAGTGGAAGCCCCACTTTCACTACCCTGGGTGCCATTATTTTGAGTTAACGGGCTTGTCACGTTTGGCCCACTAGTGGAGCTCCTCACATTGAAACTCGAATGACGACTAGGGAGAGCAGGCCTAGAATAGTGTGGGCCATTGCCAGCATTTGGCCCAAACCTCCCACTCTCCTGACCCAATTTCCCCCTGATCTCCTCTCTCTCTCCACACGCTGAGCCATCGTCATCATCGTGCCCAGGTTCCTCAAATTATGCAATCTGATTTCCGCGCGAATCTCTTCACGGAGGCCATTCAGGAACGCAGCTTGCATAACATCTTCATCTGCGTGTCTCAACGGGGCTGAAAGCAACTCAAACTTTTCACGGTACTCCGCAAACGATCCCTGTTGACGAAGACACATTAAATCTTCGTAAGGATTTCCAGAAGATGATGGATGGAATCGGTCCAGAATCGCTGCACGAAAGTCAGCCCAAGAGATGGTTGGGTTCCTTTGCTCCCACCATTGGAACCAGTTGAGTGCCCTTCCTTCCAAGCATACCGACGCGGTCTCCACTTGCTCGCCGATAGGAATCCTAAAGATTCGAAAAATTCGCTCGGCCCTGTACAGCCAGCCATAAGGATCATCTCCAGAGAAATAAGGAACCTCTACTCGCCTTCTCCTTTCGTATTCCCTAGCGTTTCCGTCCATGTCACCACCCACTTGGTCACCTCTCACTTCTTCCTCACCCTCCGTTGTAGAGCGTTTGCCAGGGCTCCTCGATCTTCCTCCGCCCATATGATTGAGTCGTGCTAAAATCTCCGTAAGGGTACAGTTCACCTGATGCACCGAATTTCCTAACCCTCCAATTCGCCCCGTCAAACCCACGTTGCTCTGTTCCATAGCCATCAGCCTCTGTTCCATATCATCAACTCTTGTCTCCATCCTTGATCGAACCATTCAACGCACTTGCAGGATCAAGTGCTTTGATACCAATTGATGGCACCAGAAGATTAACAGATAATAAACAGGAAAATATACTAAAACTTGAATTGCAATTGAGTTCTTACAAACAGTGATTAACGCTCAACAATGAAACAGTACTCAGAATGGACTACTGACAACGGACCGCTTGAGACACCTTGAAGGAAATTACAAATACTGAACCAGTAAAATACTCAGCTACTAACAATGGTTACTCTCAATGAGGAAGAAAACCCCACTCCCCATCAAGCTACCCATACTTTTCTTACAAACTTTTTAACTAACTTCCCTTACTCCCTTTTTCCTATTTAGCCACTGATTCCCTTCTCCCATTCCCCTCCCACATGGTATGCCCCATTCAACGCTTGCCACGTGTGCTCTTTTATAACAAACTCTCTTGCAGTGCTTTTCTTCTCAACAGCCAGCACTATCTGTTTCACCAAGCCTTGGCCACCCGAAGAAGCAATGGGCTGATGTTGATCACCCAACGAATCTGCCATGGCCTGCACATTTACTGTCATGGGCTGCTTGTCCGAATCTGCCAATGCAATGGGCTGATCACTATGGCCTTTGCCTTTATTCTGCTTCTTCCTACGTTCATAAACCCATTTTAGGGGTCCAACAGTATCAGAGCCTCTTTTACCAAATAATTAAGAGTTAACTCTTGCAGCTACCAGTCTCTTAATCAAATTAAAACTCAGTACAAAGTACAGTAAGGCTAGAGTTTGTCCACTCTCCCAAGTCAAGAGGGCTTTCACGTGAATCGGGGCTTGGTAGAAGCAAGACTAATTCTTGGACCACTGCCTACATGTGGAAGAAATAAAATCAGAGACCATGTTAAAACAGCTTCCAGATATTTTAATTATCATATACCATCAATCTGAAAAACTCAGCACAAAGTTCATAAAGCCAAAAGAGAAAACAGAGGAGATCCATTGACAATTTTAGCTATGCCCTTGATGAGCACCTTCCAACAGTTTACAGATGATATGTAGAAACCTATATGCTCCATTTTTTTTAGAATATCGAGTTCATTATAAACAAAAATTAAAAAAGAAAAAAAAATCTTCTTTAAACAGGGAAAATCATGAATGGAGCTTGGTTGTGTCAAGATATCTTTTAATCTCTCAAGGAAAACAAGAACTACATCTTTGATCTACTTTTCATTTTCTCCTTGACTCAATGAATCTCCCAATTGCTGCATCTAAAATCTAAATTTAAATAGTGTGTGCTATGCACCACAGATAGTGTTAGATGAATTTTAATAGATACTACAAATACGAAATTCAATAGATACTATAAATTAAAATAAATTATTGGGGAGAAATATCAATGTTCTTGATGGTTGATTACCGGCATAAGTCTGAACATCGACTGAAGTGAGTGATTTGGTCCATTTAAAGTCAGCACTTTCCAAGTTCAAAACACAAGTGAATCCACAGCAATGCTGCAATGCTTATTCTTCAAGATTGGAACTTTCTGGAGTACAACCAATATAACAGCTCCCACTCATTGTTTCAATGAAAAACTAACAGCTGAAGATAAAGATACATGACATTTATCAACCAACACCAAGATCAAGAATGTGAAAAGCTTCAAGCAATAGTATGTGCCTGTAAATTTTTATCAACCAATAATAAAATAGAAAAATAGTATGTACCTGTCTTTGGTCAAACTCTTCAGGGGAAAAGAAAAAGAAAGAGAGCTAAGCATCTCTGTCATCAAGTTCTTCCCCTTGTGAAGCACAGGCAAAGGCATCCTATCCAATTCCATCATTATCAAAGTTATTGACTGTTTGATGCCCATTTACACTCCACTTAACTCACAAAGACTCTTGGGTGATAATATATACTTTTAAGAAGTCTGTCCAAAACTGTACTCCATTTTCTAAAATTTAAATTATATTGATTCGTATACTCACTTTGATACCATTATTCCCACCACTGATATCATTGGCCATATATCAAAATTCTTTTCTTCATGTGGACATTAAAAGAACAATTTTTTTTCTTTTATGGTTCACATCTCATATGCTGCTTTTCTAGCTCTATCAGACTATATCCTGGAGGGCTTTTGAATTCATTATCCTTTGTCATTGCCCTTATTCGGGCTACTTCATCCCATCTCCCCCCTTCTGCAAATATATTTGATACCAAAACATAGGAACCTATGTTATGTGGCTCCAATTTTAACATCTGCTTCACTATAGCTTCACCGATCTCTGTATCCCCATATAGTCTGCAAGCAGAAAGCAAAGCAGACAATGCAGCAGAACTGTGTGTTGATGGAAACCTTTTAACCAAATTGTGTGCCTCTGTAAGCAGTCCAGCTCTGCTTAATAAATCTACTACACAACTATAATGAACTTCACCTGGAACTATCGCATATTCATTCACCATGATCCCAAAAATCCGTAGACCCTCTTTTACCAATCCTGAGTGGCTACAGGCAGTGAGTATTGATGTAAAGGTTACTTCATCAGGTTTAATTTTACCCAATTTCATTTGATCAAAGAGTTTCAACACTTCTGTATAATTTCCATGCATCGCATAAGCACCTATCATTGCATTCCATGATGTGAGACACCATTCAGTAATCTGCTGAAATACATATCTAGCCATATGTATTTTTCCACACTTAGCATACGTAGTAATAAGAGAATTATTTACAGACAACTCTCTGCCATGAAATATTCGGTAACTGAAGCAGTGAACTTCCTTAACAAAACTTAGACATCCAAGCTGGGATAACCCCTGAAGGAGACCAATTAGAGTAATAGAGTCGATATTTAGATTTTCTCTTTGCATCAAACGAAACAAAATAATGCCTTCATCAATATGGCCATGGTAAACATAACCCATTATCATTGAAGTCCATGACACCAAGTCCTTACATCTCATCCTATTGAAGACTTCCTTTGCATACAGCACATACCCACACTTTGCATAAGAATGAATTATTTGATTTGCAATTTCCACATTCATGATGCACTGATGCCTCAATACATACCCATGGATAGAACTGGCTAGTCTGATGTCTCTCAAGTTTGATACAGCAGAAATTAAATTCAGAAATGAAGCCACATTTGGACTAGCACTCATTTTGACCATTTCACGGAATACATTTATAGCCTCCACAGATAACTCATTTTCGAGATAACCACCCATCATAACATTATATATAACAGCATCCTTATTCCCCAAACTTTCAAATATTTTTCTAGCTTTAGTTACATCAAATTTAGAGTATAGATCAACCAAAGCAGTACTAGCCACCAGATCAGGTTCTACCCCCGTTCGGATCATGTATCCATGGATAATCTTTCCTTCACACAAATAATTCAAGTTGGCGCAAGAAAGAATTGCATTGGCTAAGGTTAACAAATCAGGCAAAATCTTTCTATGCATCATTTGACAAAAAAGGCCAAAAGCTTCTAAAGCCTGTCCATTACGAAGATAAGCCGATATCAAAGTGTTCCAAGAACCAACTGTTGTAGCATCCATCTTGCCAAAAATAGAGGCAGCCATCCTTACATCTCCACATTTGTTATACATATCAAGGAGGGCTGTCTCAAAAATCTCATCCAACAAGCCAATTCCTTTTCTAACGGCATAACCATGGATTGCACGACCCTCATGCAGCGCTCCCAATTTAGCTGCTGTATGTAGTAAGCTCACTAATGTTACTCGATTGGGATGCAGTCGTTGCTCCTGCATTAAGCAAGCAATTCGGAAGGCCCCATAAGCACATAAACCCCCACAGTGAGCGTAGGCAGTAATCATGGAAGTATAAGCCACAAGATCTTTGTTGGTAATTTCATCAAACACCTTATATGCATCCTCAATTTTTCCATATTCAGAATATAACCGAATGAGAGAAGAACCCACAAAACAATCAGAGTTCAAATTAAGCTTTAAGGAATCAACATGAACCCCTCTTCCAAATTCGAACCTCCCTAATGCAACACAACTTTTCAGACAAACCGTAATGGCTGAGCCACACAAACCAAATTTAAATTGCTTCAATTCCAAATACCGATTGAGAACCTCACCGTAGTGACCGTTCCTAAAATACCCAGCAAGTGCGGAAAGTATTTCGTGTGCTGCTATGGAGAAATTGAACAACATCTATTCTCTTGTTAACCCTTTAACCTTTCAACGATAAATAACCCTTGAAATATGTAAAGTTCGATACTGAGTACAGTAGTTTACTTCGGAATCATGAATTAGGACATGAACATGTCAAATTCATCAATTTAAGGTTTTATTATATAAATACAATTTTAATAACTCACTTTAATATAATATTATAAACAGAATATTACATTCTTCCAATTAAGATATACAATTTAATAAAATTATTGGTTCATAGACTAGTTTATAATCAACTATGTCCAAGTCGGTTAAATCAGTGTTATTTAGTATTATCATATTATGTAAAGAATATTAATTATATAAGGATAAATCAAAGGTGATTAAGGAAAAAAGAGAAAACTAATTAGGATAAAAAATTACAAAATAATTACCATTAAATTATTAATTAGGGAAAGGATATAGTAAGTGTTACTATTACTACTAATCAATTTCACCGTTAGATCGATTATGTAGATCCAACGGTTATATTTATTTTCATCTTTGTATGATTATGATTTCCTATATTTAATAATTTATATTTATTTTGAGATAGGTTATTTTACCTACTATTTTTTTTGCCTACCATCCTTCAATATCATTAGATCAGAATCTCAAGAAGAGAGAGGGAGATAAATGTTAGTTAAGATTTTGATCTAACGGTGTTGGAGGGTGGTAGGCAGAGGTAGGCAGAAAAAATGGTAGGTAGAATAACATATCCTATTTATTTTTACCCTTATATTGTTTTGATTTCTCATATTTAATGCCTTCACATTAAATATTTAATATTTTCACATTAAATATGGAGAATCATAATCATACAAAGACGAAAATAAATATAATCATTGGATTAATATAATTGATCTAACGATAAAATTGATTGATAAATAATATTAATAATAACGTTAATTAATCGTTACAATATCTTATCCCAATTAATTAATTAATAGTTAATATCCTCTGAAATAACATGATCACGCTAAGTAACATAATATATCAACTCTCAAAATTCTAATTATAAAGCTACTGTATCTTTAAACTAACGTAAGAGTCTTCTATGGTTACAAGAGTTTTTTTTTTTTTTTTTTTTGCGCAGAAAGAGTTCTTAACTTTTACTTACATGTCACTTATCACTTTATTGGTCTTCTTAAATCTTGTATGCCTAAATTTTATTAGGGTTCAGTTTATCATTTCAAATGATACAAATTGTTATGTTGTTTTAGTGACTCACTCATATCAGTCGTATAATTCTGAAAAGTTATTTTTTTTTTCATTTTATATGTCAGCGATGTGACTGAGAAGAAAAAAAAATAACATTTCATATTTACACAAAATATAACTGGTCATACTTTATGTAAATCATCTAAAAAACATAACTTGTGTACTTTTAAATGATACTTCTTTTTCCCATTTTATTATCACACAAACATTATGTGACTTTACACATATACCTCAAGACAAAATATGAATGCCTCAAATTTATTCAAGGTTTACACACAACGATATTAAAGAATTATATGTCAACGCATAAAACATTAATATTATAAGAGTTACACCAAAGTTATAATTTAGTAACTTTATTGAATGCAAATAACTTATTACATAGTCAATGTTAATTAAAAATATTCATTACAAATAAACAAACTTCATAAATATCATAGAAAATATAGGAATGGTAACACGCAGAGGCGGATCTAGGTGCATTAGAAAGGGAGCAAGTGTCCACTCTTAAAATATAATGTAAAAATATAAAAATATTCTTTTCTTAAAATTCAAAATTTTCCAATTTAATTTAAGGGTAGGATATTGTAACAATCAATTAGGGTTACTACCAATCAATTTCACCGTTAGATCGATTTTATTGATCCAACGGTTATATTTATTTCCATCTTTGTATGGTTATGATTCCCTATATTTAATACTTTATATTTATTTTCACCTTTGTATGATTATGATTTCTCATATTTAATACTTTTACATTAAATATGGGGATCATAACCATACAAAGATATAAATAAATATAACAGTTATAATCGATCTAACGGTGAAATTGATTGGTACTAACATTGGTAGTAACTCTCGTTGGTTGTTACGATATCCTAGTGTAACACCTCGTAGTACTCTGATTGTTAACATCATGATATTATAGCGTACACAGCGGAAGATTTTATTTAAAGATTAATAAAATGTCTTGTAAAAATACGAATAAACTTTTTTCAAAACATTTTATGAAAATATTTCTAAAAACGTTCACATGAGATACTGCGAAAGCGTAAATCTAAAACATATATCTATTAATTAATCTCATTAGCTAGTATTAGTGGCCATTGACTAACCGGATATGACAACAAGTGTCATTTCTGCCAGAGTCTCACAGACAACATAACAGCTATTTAACGGATAACTGGGAGATAGGAATCTCACACACAAGTACACCTGATAGACATAATTATATAACAAACAGCTTGCATGTCCCACACAGACTGCAATCCTCATCTAGGGTCAGTACATACATAATGGTTCTGCGCCCAAATTAATAAATCCATACATCATGTCTATATGTCCTCATCATATGCATCTAACATAACTTGTAACAATTACAGACATAATCCAGAAGCTCAATTAATAACAATCCTGAGCATTTTACATTCAGCACATAGTCTCAAAATAAACTAACTAGGCATGTCAAAACACCACACATGCCACATAACAATGTAACAGCATAAAATAAACAGCAGCCACAATCCACTAATCCATAGCTGGGCCCTTGCCCTTAGGATGCACACTGTTACCATAGGTACCTGAAATGATGTCCCCAAAAAGGGGTGAGATAACGACATCTCAGTAAGCTCAAGGTTCTTAGAAGATCCTCTGATCCCTTGAGCCTACTTCCTGCATGACAAGTCATATATAAAGCATATAATACAGGCATACACATAGCATCATCATATCATCCTTGTGTAACCCTAGGGTCAAAGCCATAGACGGTTACACATGTGTGACTCCAGGGTCAAGCCATAGACAGTCAACACAACCTCTGTATGAAATAGCTCTCAGAGTCAAGTCATAGGCAACCTACATACCATAATCACTGGCCGGGATTCTCATAACATATATCATCAGTGCATCATCATAACATCAAGAATCATATAACATCTATATGAATGTGAATGAATGCACATATACGTTATACCACTTACTTTCATACAATACAACTATAATGCCCACCATCATGGTGGGGCCACAAAAGAGAGGAGCAACCAGAACTAAGAGCTTACCTCACTGAGCTTATCACAAGCCCAACTCCAACAGTAAAACACGTATGCTCTAATAAATCCTCAAGTGTCAAGTCCTCTAGGAAAACCTAGAGTAGGAATTATTTACATCATTAATACTCAATCACTTAATGATTCCACATTTCATTCTTACTTGCCAATAATATGCCCATTAAAAGTCTAGACCATTTATTACTTAATTACATATTTTTAGTGCATAAGGAATTGCTCCCTAAGTCCACAATAACTCATTAGACACTAGTCCATTAATAAACTCTCTTAGATTAAGGCATCTTCAACTTCACTTATAACTAATCAAGACATTTATTATCAATATATGTCATTCATAACCTTGAACATTAATTATTATAAGTTACTAACGGTTCCCATAAACCCACTAGCCTAAATCTCACTTTTACAGTTTTTCTATAATTGTACATGCTTCTGTTTTCTAGTCACTATGTGCAACCCACTTATTATAAAATTATCTTATTTTAGTATGTTAATCTAGACTCAATTATATTTCCCACAAGGTATCACATGCCTCATTTGAAGTTTTCTAGCTCCGGTTATCACCATTTGAAGTTGGACAAGCAAAACTGTCTGTCAACCTCAAACCTAGGAAGTACGGACACTCCAAAAAATAGAGAGTGTCGTGTCCGACACGTTCCGACACGGCGACACGCTCCGACACAATGTCGGAGACGGGGTCAACATTCCCGACACATTGACCATTTCGACAAGCGAATTTGACCGAGTCCGACACGTTCCGACACGGTCAAATGGCATTTTCGTAAATTTTTTATTTTTATTTTTTAAATTATTTTTTAAAAAAAATTATTTTTAAAAAAATTAAAATATATTAATAAAGCTTCCACATGATCATAACAACTCCCCCCTTTTTCCCCCTTAAGTAAATAATAGATCATCTCAGCACCATCATTTTCATTCCTGTTACGCTCTTACTGTGTCTCCTCCACCTGATCTCTCTCTAATCTGATCTGATCTCTCTCTCTTTCATCTCAGTTCTTGTTTTTTTATTAAAGCTTCCACCTTTTATAATGTTTGACTTGGTGTTCTTATTTTACAGTGTATTCTTTTATTTTATGTTTTTGCCTTTTGTGAAGAACGCCGCTACAATTTTTGGTATTGGGTGTCGGTGAATTTTTTTGCTGTTGTTGCCATTGGTTACATCAGATTTTTTTTTCTTTTTTTTTTTCTCCCTTTATATAACACCTTGGATTCCGACTTTGAATCAATTTTTCTTATGTGGTTTTGGATTGGAAAGGAAAGTTGCAAGATAATATTTTGATGGGTATTTTTAATTTTTTTTTAATTTTTGTTAAATTATTGAATACTAAATGAAATATACACTATATAAATTAAAAATATTATTTAATATTAAAACGTGTCGCAACGTGCCGAAATCCATATTTTTTTAGGATTGACGTGTCGGAGTGTCGTGTCGTATCGTATCACGTGTCGCGTGTCGTGTCGGTGCTACATAGCCTCAAACAGAGCTCCAAACATCCATCACCATTTCTGCTATTATGGAAGATATACTAAACCAATTGCTCTCAAATTTGTATACAGAAAACTAGACACTTTCAGCTTTAATTATATATATCATGAGCCTAATTTGAGTAAGAAATGAGGGATAAAAAAATTCATGGAAGGTGCAGCCACGTACAGCCCCTGCACATGGCCTCCCTGGGCAGTCTT